GGTGAATTACGGGTGAACAGACATATAGCGCAAATTCCAGTTTTTGTTTACGTTTTGTTTTGATCAGAACGTGTACTATTGACTCAGTCCTGAAGGGGTTAAGGGGTTAACATAACTTGGAGAATGTGTATTTTCTCCATATCGCAGTTCCTGCCAGTCCAAGTCTAATCTCTGCTTAAAAGCATATAGGTAAAAACTGACTAGGGAACTACCCCTGACTGGAAAAGCTGCTCATAAAATTAGAAACTTCTACCAAGTCTGTTTTTACACTGTTTTTTTTATTCTTCTCACTAATATTTTATATTACCATATGAACTGAGGGATTGATATACTTCATGGGCTTCTTTTCCCAACTGCAATATCCAAATAATGATTGTCCTTTCTTTATGTGTAACTTGATTGGTGGCGGAGTACAGCTTGAGATCATCACGTTACATATAAGCTGTAATAAAGAACTGAGCTTAAGCACTGTAAGTCACTACTTCTTCTGATAAGGCCATAATTAGTCTTTAGAAATAAATCCAATAAGCTGAATTAGTCTGTTTGTACACTAACAACATAGAATCGGGACAAAAGCCAATACATTTATAACAGTTTCCATAAATAGCAGCCATTTAAAATGTTTTTCAAAAGTTCCTTGTTACCCAACTATAGCACACTACTGCTAAAGAATGCTGCAATAAATGTGTTGTATATATTGCTATCAGAAATGTAAACATATGTGTAGAGCATAGGTTAGTTCTGTTTAAACACGTTTGACACCAATCCAGCTTGACTGCTCAGATAAAAAGATTATGGTGAAAAGGGCTCCTTCCACCTGTGGCTGTTTTTATAATACCACAAATAATGTGCCACAAGGTGCAACTAGTTTTCAAGCAACACTTTATCACCTGGCTTTAGCCCATTCGGGATGCCACAAAGTTGCACCGGCAGGGTTGGTCACTAAAATGTGAATTTAAATTTTTAGGTCAAAATATCAAAACTGAAAACATTCTCTAAGTCAGGGGTTCTCAACGTTAGTCCTCAGGACCCCCTACCAGTCCAGGGTTTAGGGATTACCTGGGTGTGTCTCAGGTGTTTAGAAAAAGGGAAAAAAACACCTTAGAGTCTAAGGTGTTTTTTTCCCTTTTTCTAAACACCTGAGACACACCCAGGTAATCCCCAAATCCTGGACTGGTAGGGGGTCCTGAGGACTGGGTTGAGAACCCCCGCTCTAAGTGAAGGATGCCCAAAAGGTAGACCCCCAAATGTGAGAACACTGGTTTCCCTGATGCTTTGTCGTTCTAAAGGCATGCAAAGCATCATGGAAGCTATAGTACTAGAACATCTGGGGATCCACCCCTGCTCCACCCCTGCTCTAAGTCAGCTTTGATTTCATTTGGCTACTGTGGCTTTAACTTTGAAATCCACTTGGAACTCTCACTTCAGTAAATAACCCTGTGAGTCTGTAAGCATGTCCTATTCAGCAGGCCCTGGGAACCAGCATTTTTTTTTCCCACTGTATGTCAAAATAGTCTGAAGACCTAATGAATTTCATTTTGTCGTGTATATAAAACCTGCAGACCAGGTGGCCAAGCTAATGCAATGTACTTATTTTGGGTCACAGCCAAAAAAAAGGTTAAGAGTAACTGCCTTACAGGATAATCTGCCTGATGAATTTAGTCATTTCCTAAAATCTAAATTTTGTGGAAAAATAGAGCAACTGTGAGTGAAACTGAAACAATTAAGACATTTAAGTCAGCATTCCTCAGTCGCTTTGGCAGAAGGCAGACCAGAAAAGCACTCTACTACCAGCCTGTATGCACACACTGTGCTGATGGAGAGCACTTTATACTTATGGTTGTGTATACTCTCAGACCAATGCAGTAGCTGGGAGCTGCATGTGTAGTTTAATCAGGCAGCAATCTTTAAATAACCTTTTGCATGATGATGGTGGGTAGGGTAAATTTAACCCATAGCCGAATGTGGAGAGCATTCCTGTAACAGGAGAACTTGACCAATCTTATTACTGTGGACCTGATCCAGAAAGGCAAACTATCTCTGCTCTCCTGCGAAGAAGTGTTATCTCCTTCTTGGGTATGTGCTGGTTTTAGCCTCGGTTTTAAAATGCACAGTCACAGAGTGCCATCTAGTGGACAAACAACTGTAGAACAGCTGATTTACAAGGGGATTATTCATTAAATACCAAATTGCCGTGAATTGAATGCTTAAGTGCAAATTTTAGGCAGAATTTCACAATTTTGAGAAATTCTCAAAACACAATTATAATCACTGCTTGGACTAAATGTTTTGAGTATTCAGTTCACTAAATTTGACATTTAATAAATAAAGCCCAATATGTAAACAGTTCATTTGTTCAACATTCATCTGTATAACTTTAAAGGAAAAAAGATTGTTTTACTGTATTTGAAAGAAAATGTACATAAAACAAATCTCTTTGGAAGTCTTAGCAAATTATGAATAGGTTTTATCAGTCCATATTAAATGCAAGATTGTTTTTGCAACACCTGACATCTAATGCACACTTCGGAATGTCACATGATTCATTTGTCCATTCTTCGACCCATGAACACACTGGCATTGATGTACTTTCCCAGATGGAAAGAATGAAGCCTCTTTATGCCTTAGAATACACAGACAGGGGTGTATTTATAATAAAACACAAAACATATCAGTATTTTATTATAAATCCAGCTCTAGTCATTCAGCTGCAGGCTTTGTCAGCTTTAACCAGATTATCCTAAACCCAGTAACAGCGTCCCCCACTCAGCAAAAAAATGTATAATTATTAAATTAAAGCTATCTGTGTCTGGGTTGCACCATTCCTTGCACTTCACTTCGTATTTGGCCTACGGCAAAGTAATTGTAAGTTGAGCTATTTTTGATTCCTGGAGAGCTATTTCTGTACTAGATGGTTTCTTGGTTCTTCTCTGCCTGGTCCAAGTGTCTTCCAGGGCCATGAACAGACATACAGCCAATGGATACCCATTGTGCAATGTATCTTTAAACACATTTGGATCCCTCCGTCTAGTTTTGGCAGCAGGGTGCTGTCATTCGTGTGCGAATCCTATGACATCACCTTACAAGCCACGGACTTGTGGGCATTTCTAAAGCCCAAAGATGTGTCAAAAAAGGGACTGGGATTAGCGGTCTGTTCTTCTAGGTTCCTTAGTTCCTTGTGCTCCTCCTGCCCTCTAGCGTTGATTTTTGTGTACTGCAGGTAAGTTGCATTTAATCTTTCGTACTGATACATTTCACATGGCAGTTTTGTTATTTTTCAGCATTTGGGCATGAGGTCACATTATAGTTATGGGTAACTATGAAGAGGTTTAAAAGAGTGCCCTACCTCCAGTTCAGTATATCTGACATTGTTTATTTTTTGATAGCTCTCTGTGTTAATCTTCAGTTGGGTCACTGGACGAAAGGAAAAATAAAATCCTACAGGTGAACAACTAAGTGCGACTAAGTGGCTACTACAAAAGTAGTGGGGATAAATATCATTCCTGGGCTACCACACGGTCTCAAAGGTAACATTACTATTCTGCCAAATTTCAACGTGAAAAAACTGAAAAATGGAATGTGCTATATTTGACCCTTTAACTTTCCAAAACACCGTAAAAACTGTTAATGGGGGCTACTGTTGTACTTGTGAGACTAAAAAAAAAAAAAAAAATTCTCACAGTTTTTTTTATTTTATTCATAGTAAATTATGTTTCATATATAAGTATTTGTTATGAAAGCCCTGTTTCTCCTGAACAAAATGATATATAATAAGTGTGGGTGCATATAATATAAAAGAGGTGAATTACAGTTGAACAGACATATAGCGCAAATTCCAAGTTTTGTTTTGATCAGAACGTGTACTATTGACTCCGTCCTGAAGGGGTTAATATGTGTTTATACTGTTGATATTTGCTGCACACCGGCGGCACTAACGTTCCCCTCTATTTGTTTTCTTGGTAGATCAGCCTGTTACAACACACCTAACCCTGTTCCCAAGCTTGGTAGGCTTAACACGCCTCATGCCCTTACCTCCGTGAGCTCAAGCCTCACACACGGTATAATCCGGTTTTATTAACACCGTCTCATCTAACACATATCTCACTAACCTTGACAACCTAGCCACTCGAATCAGAGCCATCACAGACTAGTTAAATGTGACCCACTTCATAAGTCTGTTTATAATATAAAAATGTGCAATGTTTTTCATGCCATAGTTTCACTAATATGTCAATGTATACGCTGTTGTGGCATTATTAAGTCAATTTGTACTCATATGGACAACAAAAAATTTACATTTAAAAAAATATATTTATATATCCAAAGAACGCTTAGCAGCCAGAACAACCTAAACTCTATTTGTGGCTATGACAGACAATTTCAGAGATCAGAGAGTTTGAGTTAACATTTTTTGGGGGGAGACTTCCATCTACCAAGCAGGAACAATGGATCAGAATAAGGCTTTGAAAAGTTTACATTCTGAAACAAAATACTGAGGAAAAAACAGAGCTTACACATACATTCAATAAAATACACCCTTATCCAATAAACATGAAATTCAGGAGATATTTTATAAGCTACTATCCAGTATAAATCCCAGCAAGCTCAGTTCACCTGATCCGATCCCTTCCCAATATCCCTCTCTCCCAACCTGTGTAACCTGATTAACTACCCAGTAGCTGAAACTCCATTAGTTTTGCTGAGGGGAAATATACACCACAGATCAATGTAACTTTGTCATTTTAGTTTTTGTTACTATGCAACTGTATGAATGCTCAATAGTTTAATGTAATTTTACTTTACAATAATGTATCCAGCGTTATATACCTAACTATATTACTACTGAATAACTGGATTCAAATTGTTATCAAATGTATCATTTGTTGGCCTATAAAAAAAGTGCACTGAATAAGTTTTCCAAATTAGAATTGTTAATAAAATAAATACCAATGAATATTTTTTCTTGCCCTCAGGTGAGTGTTGGCAATTTCAAGAGATGTCTCAAATTAATGTGCGCATCTATTAGGTAATATGACAGAACTGATAGCAGCTGTATTTTTTTCTGTATCTTAAAGTCTTCAAGCATACTCCACTGACACATTTCATCAATACAGCAAAGGCATTGATCAATCTACATTGGAGAGATTCAGCATTTCCTATGATACAACAGCCAATTCATCTTTTGGAGAAGATCTGATCTATGGAGGAGCTAGTCAACTCCCTAGAGGGCACAGGTGATAAGGTTACTAGAATATGGTTCTTTTGAGATCCGTTAATAGAACCAGAAGTTTCTATTTCTTGAATACACTAGAGACTTGACAATCTGAACACTAGGAAACTCTGATGTAACAGGGCTTGTTAAGAGTTGCAAAGTAGAAAATGACAGGACTTTGATGGTCATTTCTGTACACTGCACCCTTTCATTTTGTCTTTATTCACTCTATTTTCTTCTTTATTTTGAGTTTTATGAAAGCTGTAATTAAGTTGTGTTTATATTTCTGACTTGCGCTGGTTCGTGACATACTTTTGATCTAAATATTTAACCAAAACATATATATATATATATAACTTTAACAGTGGTCATGACATATCCCCTAAGGTTATAATGTACCACATGAGAATCTCTGTTACAGAGTTCCTTTCCTGTGAGTTACATTGTTTGGGTGAAATAACCATGAGAATATTTCAAGGTAGGACAATTTTCCTACCCCAGGAAAGACGTGGAAGAAGGTTCCACGTGCACAGATCAGACAGGTGTCCATGGAAAATTTGCATGCACTTACAGTAATATTGTTTTCCTGGCTAGAATGCCAGAACATTGCCTATGCTTATTCTGCTAGCTGCTGGATAATGTAAACTGGAGTTTGGGGCGATTCATTTATGACCTATAACATTGCTCCTCTCCAGTGAAATTTAAAAGGAGGAGCTAAACATGGTTATAACCAGGGATATTTAATCAAACTGTAAGGATCTACACCAGCTGTGTACATTAAGTTAGAGATAAAGAAGGGTTCTTATTCTTCCTGAACTCGCTTAGATGCAGGACACAATCCAACGATAACAAAAAAGGCAGGACATACTCCAGAATGCAGAACATTTCTTCACATGGTTATTCTAGCCAGTAATATAACGTTACAACGAACACATACATAGCACAAGCCACGGCTCTGTCAAAGGTAATCACAAAACAGATCCCAAAACAAGCTTTGCCTGACATTGCCTTAATGCACTGCCATAGTTAGTAGGTCCAAGCCGAATTGAATTAATTCCATAACAGTTGAATTTCCATACATTTTGACATGTCTAATAGTTCACATTTTACTTAACAGAATAACGCAATAAAAGAAAGTGAAAAACAAATCGGTTCATGAGCTGACATGGGTGAAGCACGTCAGACAGTTCCTACTTGGGAGAACCAAAAATGTCCTGCATTCATTATGGAAGTTTAAAATGTAAAAAGTAAGAAAAATAACAAATAGTTATCCAAGTAAATGAAACCATTGATTAGGGGCTGTATCGAGCATTGTTATTTTAGCATGTTACGGCTCCATCTACTGTCCACACTGATAAAATACACTCAATGTGAGTGTGCAGTGTAACTCCAACAAGACACTCCAGGAATTTATGTAAAGTATTAATTATGCAATTGTGGCAATGTGAAGAAGACCTAATCCCAGACATATGGTCAGCAATGCTTTTATGTAAAAAGAGTGCCATTCACTTATAAATCTACTGTGCCAGTTCATGGATGTCACAACGTCTGAGGAATGTTCTGCGTGATTGCCTAACAACCAAGGAACACAATTTACAAAGCCAAGTGGATCCCATGTCACAAACTCTGCTGCCTTATAAAGTTACAAAAATACCCTAGAATGCAAAGTGGATTAATGAACCCCGGGATGGATAAAGTGATACCTAATCACTAAATCTGAACATCACTCAGTGTGAATTCATTTATTTTTAAACCCTGAAAGAGCCATTGGTTTTTCTTCCATAAGAATGGTGCGGTGTCCCATACTAACTTACTTATAAAAACATTGCAAGAATGACTGAAGCTGTTCTAAGAGCACATATTGGTGGCCCTATTCTTTATTAGTTTCTTCCAATCAATGTATCATTAGACACATCATTGCCATGTGCACACACAAAATGTAATCTTAATTAATTGGTTACTCCAACCAAAAACCAGCATCAGATGCCAATGTGGCAAAAAATTTACATTAGCCCCCCTCAGAAGAAAGGTTTGTACGTGCAGCTTTTCATACTCAAGACACCATGACCACTTCAAATATTTTAAGGTTTTGTAATAACTTGCATCATATTCAAAAGCACAAAACCAAGATATTCTTATTTCACAGTTTCCTTTAAAGCACATTGGGTTATGGGTAACAATGTCCAATCCTGGAGCAAATAAATAGACAACGTTCTACAGTCATGGACTGAGACACAGCTGTGACAATCATAGTTAAGTGCTCACAATTGTTGCAGGAGAGAAACACTAGGCACACAAAAAATTATTGAGTTGTTAAACGTATGTTTTACATGAAATGAGCATATTTGGACCCATTTGGAGTGATTTACCCTTGATAATCACTACTTCCGAGAAGACCTGAAATAGAGACCGGTTTCCATAAAATACTAGCATAGGAGGATGCGCAACCATTAGGAAGGCAAAAGTGACGCAAAGGGCCAAGAAATCTGGGACAGAGGTAAGGAAATCGGCCATCTAAACCTTCAAAAGCCAAGACTTATGGTCAGGTCCACTTGAATGGTCAGGGTTCATGAAGACGCATACTTTATTCCAATCAGGTATGTGGTAATTCTGAATTCGATATAACATGAGGAAAGGCAGAATGCAGGACAAGCGGTTAAGGTAAGTACGGAAGGGTGTATAGCAACTGCAATTCAGGCAGATAGAGCCAATAGGTATTTAGAAACTAGGCCTGGGCTAGGGCTGAATACTAGCATAACCGGTATCCTTTAGCCTTAAAGGGGCCATACATTTTGTAGAGCGACTATGTGAAATATGGCTAATGTAGGGGGTGAAGGTTAGTGGAGATGTATCACCAATGGTATAAAATACATTTAAATGTATGCACTGCCCATTAATCAATAAACACAATTCCCGTTAGCAACTCATTACAAACAACAGTAGGAAAAATATTATGTCTTGGCGTCTGTGATTATATTAGACAGAGCGGATTCAAGGGTAAAAGTGAGCACTGCCCAGATCAGTATGGGTTTCCTCGCTGACAATATTAATAAATAATTTTTATTTTGGTGACTATAGGGTCTGTTTAAGGAAGGCTATTTGCAAAGTCTACTATGCAAGCTTGAAGTCTATTTCTGGGTTCCGGCAAGGAGCACTGGGCTCTGGATGCATAGATGCAGAGTATACTTGGGAGGAGTAGAACTGGAGAAAAGTAATAACAGATTTCTGTTGTACGGGGCAATGTTATGGAGTCTTAGAAATAAGTCTTACCACCTATCTGCACCTGTCTGGATTAATAAATCACCAATTTTACACTATGCACTTTTTTATGGGTTTCTAATGAGTATGCATTCATGCTGTGAGGTGCAATGAAAACGTAGATTGATAAAAGAACGTGTGTGAAACTTGCGGGAATTTCCACCAAAAGTTAACACATAGAGTGTGTAACGAACGCTGGTATTGTAGTTACCTGTTCGTCTATTTCCTCCCGAACTGCTAGAGACGGAGTGATTATGGCTCACAGTTCTGGTGTTGATTCAAACGTTCTCCAGATGAAATACAGCATCCAAGTATAGTCACCAAGCAAATTAGACGATACTCAAACATCAGCCTAAACTAGATGAAGGGTACAACAGGAATGTTTTTTTTTCAGGCTAACCGCCCGGTTTATATTCAGTTACAAATGTACAGGGTTTACGTTGATATATTCCAGGGGCATTACCCACTGGACCTGAGAAGGGACAGTGACAAAATATATTCTGCAGTTACATTGGCTCTCCCACATAAAATAATATAATCCTTTCCCTGTACTTGGAAGATAACCATACTAAACTATCTCCAAACAAAAAAAACAAAAAAACATTTCCACAAAACCCAGGAAGTACCCCAAACTTCATGGAAACCCCACAAATGTCATATCCCCTGATAGCCCTGATCTGGAGGACCAACATATTTAAAAATCATCCAGATCGGTTCAGGGATTCGGGAGTTTCATGGGAGGCTTAATTTGACCGACTGCACACGAGGCTCGTGCCCAGAAAAAGTTCCATGAAATTAGGTTGTGCGGTCGCTCTATTTCGAAAAGTCTAAAAACCGAACAAATCCACAAACAGTTCCCCTGGCTCATAGGTAGCGTTTGTTCCCCTAGCTCGTGGGAACAAGCCTACCGAATAGCGCTGCAATGGCTGGTCGGTGAAACGAAGCAGGCATTCGTGAAGTTGCCCGGTGTTCGGGGGTTGAGTGTCCGATTTTAGTTCCAGACACTTGCCAACCAAGTCCCGCTGCCTCCTTTCGTGCGAACAAGATGGCCGCCATTTTCTCCTGCACGTGGCTACAGTTATATGAACGGTCACACAGAGAGAGCACTTAATTTGCGGTCTGCTTTGTAGTTAATGAGGGCGGGGTGGTCGAACGATAAAAATCAAAGGGAATGAAACAAAAGCTGTAGTTTCTTCACAGAGTGAACTAGCAACATACTGTTACTTTGTGGATACTGTGATTAATTATTTGGGCTTGTGATGGCAACGGTATCCATTTGAGCAAAATTGCTATGTGGCATTTATTTTCCCTTGATTTTCAATGTAATATCATTATGGTTATTGCATTAAATCTTTAAAGAGACACTGTAGGCACCCAGACCAATTCTGCTAATTGAAGTCGTCTGGGTGCGGTGTCCCTATTGCACTTTACATTGCTGCTCCAAGTCTACCAGAGAGCCACGAGAGGGCTTCCGGATTTTAAACAGACCTTTGGTCCGTCATCTGACGATGGACGTCCTCGCGCTCTGCAAGACGACCTATGGGTCACAGCTCCCATTTCAGATTTTGGCCTCTTTGCACCTCTGCACCTTGGGTCTTGTTTGGTTTGGTAGACCCCCTGCTTCTATTAATCTGCTGCTGAGTGACTGTTCCCCGGGCTGCTAGAATTGGGTGCGCTAGAGGTTCCAAAGCCAATATAAATATCCGGAGCAAGAGGGCATCCTCGTCAATCCATGTTTTTAATTGTATTGTTTATAATTGGTCCTGAGCTGCTAGGGTTAGGTGCGTCAGAGGTTCCAATAGTGCGTTTTGGAATCACTGGTAGGATTTCATAATGTGAGTGCATTGCCGGTTGAACACCCTATGGAGAGGTTTGTCTTGCCATGGAACCTTGGGTACCCGATGAGTGTTAAGGCCACAGTCTTGAATGAATCACGAAGATGGCTCCCAAACATGAACAACTAAGGAAATTCCTTAGTAGTTCATGTTTGTGAGCCATCTTCATGATTCATTCAAGACTATGGCCTTGAAACCCATCAGGCCCCGGCCTCCTTTCTTCTGGCAGGTGTACAGCCTGAGTGCTGGATTCAGGTGGAATCCTCCATTCATAGTGAGTGAGTGGTTTCCAGGTTTTGACATTCATGGTGACTAACTCCTAGTAGGGCATATGTGTTGATGGCGTGGATCTTGTTCTTACCATTGAGCTGGATTTTCGGGACCTGTCTGACTCTCTGGAATTACTTGGATATTACAATCCTTCTTGCCTCTTCCTCATGTTGCCATGTGTTTGTGGTAGCCTTCGGTAACTGTTCTTTCCATGTCTTAACCTTCTGGTACTTGAACTCCTTCTGTCCTGATCATCTTCCCTCCTTTTGTTATCATCCCTCCACACTTATCTAGTCTGAAAAACATTCCAATATCCTTGCTCTATATCCTAGTTAGGTGGATCAGTGAGTCAATGTACCGCTTATTCTTGGAATACAGCTTGATGTCGTCCACGTAGAGTAGGTGTCTGATGGCAGCTTCACTCTTTAACCTGTATCCGTATCCACTCTTCTTGAGGATCTGGTTATGGGGGTTGAGGCCTATGCAGAACAGCATTGAGGATAACTCATAACCCTGGAATATGCCATATTTGATGTTCACTTGTGTTATTTTCCTGGAATTGGCTTCTAGAGTTGTCTTCCACTTGCCCATCGAGTTATTGATAAAGGTTCTTCCAGTATCCATGTGTGCGGCATTGTGTCATAGGCTTTCTTGCAGTGAAACCAGGTTTGCATCGTCTGTCTGGTTTTAGAATCACATGTCACTGTTGATCTACCACCAGTTGTATCGATACTCTGGTGTTGCTTCCAATCTCCTTTTGAGTATTGCTTATATACTGGCTCAAATGCCCATCGATCTTGGTGGAAGATGCCCCATAGGACCTTCAATGTTGTGGGGACAAGCGTGACTGGCCGGCAGTTAGACGATGTTGTTCCCTTTGAGGGTCCTTCATGACCAGAATTGTTCTTCCATTTGTTAGCCAGTCTGGGTGGGAGCTTGTTCCTAGTACCTGGTTCATTTATGCTGCTTGGTGTTCAAGCTGTGTTGTTAAACCAGTAGGTGTGGATCATGTTGGGTCCTGGGGCAGACCAACTCTTCATGTGGGCTAATTGTTGCTGGATATCTGCTACTGTGACATGACTGGTCCATTTTCTGGGAGCATGCAGTGGTCTGCTTTCAGGTCTAGTAGCCACTAGATCTTGGTGTTATGTGATGCTTCTTTCTCCCAGATGTTCTCTGGGTGGGTTTTGGGTGGATATGTGGTTACCCTGCAACGTGCATACACCTTGGATGGTTATTTGGTAAATGGGGGATTTATTCTCTTAGCCTCTCCTTCTCTAGTGTATCAGCTCAGCCTGGTTGCCACTGCTATCAGCCTTAGCTTAGCTGTTACCAGTGCCTCTGGTATGGGCATATCCTTGTATTTCCTCAGTAGGCAGGATCTATCCTTGAACATTCCACCTCTGGGAAAAATGACCCGGCTTACTAACTTCCTTATGTGTTGCCTTTAACTATTTTTTTATTATTTATTTCCGGTAAGGATAAAATACTTCACTTCACTGCTGCTGAGTAGGTGTGTGTGGGATACGCACGGTTCTTATATAAAACATGATTCATGGACAAGTATTGACTGAGAAATTCAAGCCACTCCCTGTTATCTGCCAAACTTGGGATTTAAAAATGACACCATTGGCATCAAAATAACTCAAGCCCAACGAAGCAGCCCCTTGGCTTCCATTTGTAGTATTCATGATGAGCATTGTTTCGCTTTCAGCTTGATCTTGTAGTCAAGCATTTGGAGGACCACTAAGACTGTGGCATACATATGTCTGTTGGTCTCTGTGATGGTGCGGGTTGGGGTTGTGGACAGTGTCTCTTGTGGACTAGCTTCCTCTTCACAATGTTCAAACGTTGTATTCGGGTATATGTTTAATGTAACCCCTCTCGTTTGGTTTGCTGTTGCAGTAGCAGTCAAGCAAGGCTAGGTTCTCACTTCTTATTGACTGTGTGTGTCTACAATGAACAGGCAGACATTTAATTGCAATGTAATTATTCACCAATAGCTTGCAGAAGGGTGGTATTAGATCAGAGAAACTTAGTTTTGGTACTTCCTAAGAGGTGTTATGTAGGACTAGAATGGAGGGAATTAGAATTAAATGTTTTTTAATTGCAGAAAAGTAAATCGATATATTAGTTCCAGTCTCCAGTCCAATGAATTGACTCAGTAAAGTGTGCATTAAATATTTATTCTCTCCTGGATATCAGATTAGTCTTGCAAATGTAAATTAATTCACTGAGAATGCTTTAATCGGGTGATTTGAATTTCCTAGACAGATTTTGTAAAGCGTGCTGACCAGCGTGCCAGATCTGGATAATATTGTAAGAAAGCAAATATTCTGCAAAGCTATGTGTAATAATGTACATTCGCATATGCTATTCCTGCATTAAATGCATGTACAGTAACATATGTTTCTCTTGGATAAGATATCATGTATAAGGATGAAAAGTAACATATGTTGTTCCTGGATAAGACAGCGTGTTTAAGGATGTACAGTAGCATGTGATATTCTAGAAAAGATAGCATATTGCAGGAAGTACAGTAACATGATATCCTGAAAAAAATACAGCATGTTTAAGAATGTAAAGTAAAATGTGATGTTCCTAGGTAAGATAGTACCCTTTGTACAGCGCTACGGAATCTGATGGCGCTATATAAATAAAATAATAATAGCATGTTAATGACTGTACATAAGCACATGACCTGTCAGAAAGGAGAGCAGTTTTAAGGATGTAAAGTAACATGACATTCACAGGTAAGATCGCATATTTAGGGATCTAAGTAACATAGGAAATTCCAGGGTATGATAGCTTGTTTAGGGATTTAATTAACATATGACTTTCCTGAGTAAGATAGCAATTTTAAGACAAAACCGTAATGTTTGATGCTCTTCGATAAGATAGCATGTTTAAAGGGATACTAAAGGCACCAAAACAACTATAGCTCAATAAATAAGTTATAGTGTATAGATCATGCCCCTGCAGTCCCATTGCTCAAATCACTGCCATTTAGGAGTTAAATCACTATTGTTTCTGTTTATGCAACCATAGCCACACCTCTCCTGGCTGTGACTGACACAGTCTGCATGAAAAAAATGGTTCCCTTTTTGGGGACGTGGCCTGATCTTGGAGCAAGATGGCTGCTTAAGTTGATTGCTTCGCCACCGACTGTGAATAAATGCAAACAGACTATTGAAAAAAAGAGCCATTAAAGTTAGAACAGAGCTTGAACAAGAAGGGGGTTATGCAGACACCCCGCAGAGCCCAAAAAACGCCATGTAAACCCATCAGAACATGGCAACAATGCTTGCAGCCACGCAATGGTGGGCAGACTTAGGAGTTAAATCACTTTGTTCAGCCCTAGGTAAATGCTGCATAAAAACACCTCCCTACATGTGACAAGCAAAGCTTTTCTAAACACTTCATGATATTTTAGGTTTCTTTAATGCACAGTCTGTTTAACCTAAATGTTCTAATACCCTGCTCTGTTAAGAGGCAGCTAAACCCTACAGGGGCCTCCTGTGTGTGATTAAAGTTCAGTTCACAGAGCAGAAGATAAAAATTCTAGTAAGCAAGTATCAAACACATGGAAAATACAACTAGATATCAAAATGTAATCTCCTTGATTGAGGTTCCATTTAATGTCTGATAGCTTGTAGTTTGTTCTGCTTTTCCAAGTGTCTTTTGTAGGTCTAATATTATTGTTCGTTTGACCCTTTTTTTTGTTTGTGTATGGCTTTGTTAATGAGGTGTCTGCTATGATGGTTTTATGTGCCACCCACACAGTGGGGAAGGGGGATACAGACTTAAGATACCACACACACACACACACACAACACCCCTGCCCGAACACACACACAGCACCCTACCCCCCCCAAACACAACACCTCTCCACACACAGACCGCACCCCTGCCCTCCACACACACAGCACCCCACACACACACAGCACCCCACATATTTAGGGATGTAAGTAACATAGGAAATTCCAGGGTATGATAGCTTGTTTAGGGATTTAATTAACATATGACTTTCCTGAGTAAGATAGCAATTTTAAGACAAAACCGTAATGTTTGATGCCCCCCACACACACACAGCACCCCACACACACACAGCACCCCACCCCACACACACACCCACAACACACACACGCAGACTGCACGTATGTGTACTCAGCAGTCTGTGTGTGTGTGTGTGTGTGTGTGTGTACTCAGCAGTCCGTCTGTGTGTACTCAGCAGTCTGTGTGTGGGTGTGTGTGTGTGTGTGTGTGTTGGTCTCGTGATATGGAAGACACAAGACTCAGCAGTCTGTGTGTGTACAACAGCAGTCTGTGTGTGTGTGTGTGTGTGTGTGTGTGTACACAACAGCAGTCTGTGTGTACAACAGCAGTCTGTGTGTGTGTACTCAGCAGTCTGTGCGTGTGTGTGTGTGTGTGTACAACAGCAGTCTGTGTGTGTGTGTACTCAGCAGTGTGTGTGTGTGTGTGTGTTCAGCAGTCTGTATGTGTGTGTGTGTGTGTGTGTGTGTATTCAGCAGTCTGTATATGTGTGTGTGTGTGTGTGTGTGTGTGTGTGTTCAGCAGTCTATGTATTCAGCAGGCTGTGCGTGTATGTATTGCATTTGTTGAATGGGGTCCTTTCACTGTTTGTAGTAGTCCAGTTGGTCTCGTGATATGGAAGACACAAGATAAGAGACAAATCGTATAGAGTGAGATAAAGATATAAATATTCCACTCACATTTAAATGAGCTATAGCCAGCTCAGGTATGACATGCGTACAGCGGAACAATCCCCGCTTATGGGATATATGGATGATTGTCCTCTGGAGGGAATGGTGTCCAACTCTCAGGAAAAGGGAAATAAAAACAACTAATAGTGTTCACTGTTTAACACGGTGTAAAAGTTGTTTAAATAAATAAACATTTACTTACAAGTGTAGTGTAATGCTTTCTATATATTCACAAATTTAAAAACTAATCTTTACTTAAAACCCTATTCCCTATCTCCTAACAACTTATCTACAAGTATATACTCTAGAGGTATGGGTCAATTTCCTACCACATACTTTGATTTTTCAAAATGCTGACACTTTCCCTTTAAATATATGTCCCTAACTCTACTTTTAACTATCTTCTTTACTTTTATATGTCAGTATATATTATATATAAAAAATAGCATGT